GCACTGTATGCTTCCCGGGAAGCTGAGAATGTTTCGGAGTGTTCTATGGTCTGCTGGGGTAATAATATAGTGTAAAGCACATAGAGCCTGCTGTTGAGCTGGGATATGCGCTATACAAATGCTATCTATTATTATTATTATTTACAATTTACACATCGGTCCATACCAAATTGCCATTTTGTTTCAGCCCCTCTGGTCGTTGTCTGTGTGTCTGTCCGGATCTCGCCCAGTCACTAGAGGGGAGCTGTGTCGACTGTCCTTCTTCTTCTCATCTTCCTCCCAAATCCTCACACTGATTTTTATTTCTCATCTCCACTCCAGGGGTGCTACCGCAGGCCCAGCCCCACCTGTGTGGGTGCTGAGGTCTTGTGGTACGCACCAACAGATTAAACACTGACCGATCTCCAGACCAGGAAAAAGATTGAGGTTTTTAAACTGGTTCTCAAGATATTTATACAACTTCCCAGCCACCGATATCTGCTGCTGCTACTGCTGCAGCTCTGCTCGACACTTCAGTCAAGCGATGTGTGAGGGAGTGCTGCTGGCCTTGACCCCTCGTCCTTGAACCCTGAACCCTACACACACCCACAAACGACTACACGCTGGTTCTGAATCTGTGGAGATCATGTTGAGGAGAAGGATGAAGATGATGATGCTGCTGATAATGATGGTGATGATGATGATCATAAACTCCCATGGCGTGTTGCCCGAAAGAGTTTTTGCCCCCACACACGTGAGGAAAGAAGTCACGGCGATGTAAGTGAAGGGTCTTTCCGCCCAAGGTCGCCCAACACACACGCCAAAGCTGGGCACATGTCGTGAGTATGTCTTTGCGCCAGCACCAGAAATCTCCACGAGCGCAGCAGGTAATGAATGAAGTGTGACCATTACTATGCTGGTCCCACTGATTCTTTTTTGTCACGTGACTATACTTGGGTCGTCTTCCGAAAGGCAAATTAGAAATCGGAACACCCAACTGCACTAACCTAATCCGTTCTGGTTTCTATAACAGCGAGGTGCAGAGAAAGAGAGAGAGAGCATACATGGAGTTCAGCTCAAGTATTTTGATTATCATCAATTTACATCAGCTTTGCAATCTCCCGTCTGTTTGGCTTGTTTATTCTGAAAATGTAGAAGGCAGGTCGGTACATAATTTTTTAAACAAGAAAACAAACAAACAACAAAGCTAAAAGGAAAAGCACCAACAATATGTCTGTCCTCGTATATCACAGTAAGTCGAGGGCAGATGCAATTATCGAGAGTGGGCCAGGCGTTTTTAGCTTATATGTAGTCAGACTGTTTCTTTGCATGAAGGATTCCTTTGACTTCATCGATCCATATCTTTCTTGGACTACCTTTTGTCTTCTAGCCAGTGAATCCTAAGCTGAAAGCCTTTGAGACTTGCTGTTGCGCCCCATATGAAGGAATATTACAGACATTTCTTAGATGTTGTAACTTCGTTTTGGTTTGTCTCTTGTTTTGTTGTTGTTGTTATTTTTGGTTCACAGATACAATATGCAGCTTCTGAACTTGAACGTGGGAAAGATTTTTAGAGCTCAAAAGCTCAGTGAGTGAATTATTGTTTGAAATCAAGACCATTTCATGGGACACACAACATGTGGGAGTATGCAGGTGTTAACTTGTGTGCGCAATCATGTTTTATCTATTATTTCAGTCGTATTATTGTATCTGCATATTTGTGAGACCACTCCCGAAAAACAAAACAAAATAAAAAACAAAAACAAACAAACAAAATTAGACCCCCTAAAACAATCCGTTTATCCCGCCTCCATTTTCAAACCCTCTGTCCACCGCCACCCCTCCCCACCCCTGTCGTATGTGCCCCCCTCCCCCCACCCCCGTCACACCCCTATCCACCATTCCACCCACCCGTAAAAAGCCCAGTTACTTCTGACCCTGTCGGCATGACTCCACAACATACCATTCAGTCTGACAGATAGGTCAAACGGTGAGGGTTATGTAAGACAGAGAGGAGATAATGGTTATAGTCAATGTCAGCGAGAATACTGAACTTGTCATTTCCTGACGGTGTGGTACCATTCTGTCTCCGTAAAATTATATCCGCGCTAAACCATACACATACGAGAGAGAGAGAGAGAGAGAGAGAGAGAGAGAGAGAGAGAGAGAGAGAGAGAGAGAGAGAGAGAAAAAAGAGAGAGAGGGGAGGAGAGAGAGAGAGAGAGAGAGAGAGAGGAGAGAAAGGGAGAGACGGGGAGGAAAAAAGAGGGGGTAAAGGGAGAGATAAGGAGAGAAAGAGAGAATGAGAAAGAAATAATATAGGAGAGAAATAATTTGGGAGAGAGAAATAGAAAACGAAAAAAGGAGCAGGCCTATATTATGGCAAAAACAAAAAGCATGATTGAACAATGTATCTATTTTCCTAAAAGCTTATTCATAAACGTGTTCACCGATGGCGGAAATGCAATGGCAGTGTGGTCCGATGAAAAAAAAATGTTATAGATAACGAGTTGGGATGAAAGAGAAGGGGGCAGAGGGGGAAGGTGGGGGTAAAGTATCTTTAGAGGGGATTTTGGATTTTTTTCCTCCAAGCGTCTTTCCTTTGGCTCAGACCCTAAAAAAATCAAAGGAGCATAATTTTATCTCTAATAATTGTTGATGTTTTACGCCCTTAGCGACACTATATAGGTCATTTAGGAGCAGGGTACTCAAACCTTGCCAGTCTGGGACAGCTCGAATTGACGGGGATATAGAACTACAACAGAATGACGAAGGTGCTCTATAACTTTACTCCATGAAAATCGAACGTATGTCATCTCCGTGCAACCGTAAAGAGAGTATAGGTTACACAAGAGAAGCTGGTGGTTTGTTACTTCGATGGTTTGTTTGTTTGTTTGTTTTTTTTGGGGTGGGGGTGGGGGTTGGGTGGGGTAGGGGTTGAGACCTGTGCTGATACCGTGAGAGAAAATGTTGCTTCAAACATAGACACATCTTACTTTCACAGCTTGGGTATAAATGACGTCTCCTACTGTGGATCAGTTCTCCCTAAATTTCACCCATAACCAACTTTCTCTCTCTCTCTCTCTCTCTCTCTCTCTCTCTCTCTCTCTCTCTCTCTCTTCTCTCTCTCTTTCTCTCTCTCGCTCTCTATATTTCTGTCTTTCTGTCTCTCTGTCTCGCTGAGTTTTCTCTCTGTTTTCCCTACCTCTCTCTCTCTCTCTCTCTCTCTCTCTCTCTCTCTCTCTCTCTCTCTCTCTCTCTCTCTCTCTCACTCTCTCTATCGCTCTCTATCTATCTATCTATTCATTTATATACCTTTCTATCTGTCTGTCTACCCATGTCTTAATTTATATCTTCTGTCTGTCTATATGATGATGATATACCACAATAGTATTTTTTATTTATGTGTGTGTGTATGAGTATATTTATAAATGTTACATATATGTATTATATTATTATATTATATTTCATTTATATAATAAAAAATGTACTTTAAATATCCTTTGTGCAGGTGTTTATAGTCCATCGACTCGATCATGATTCAACTTACAACATGATTCTGCACATACAAACTGATTTACATCCACATGCGCATTCACACATACAAACAGTGGGTGGTTGGCCGGTGCTCTGGTGTGGTTTGCTTCTTCTTTCCTATCAAACATCTATCGTCCTTATCTCCCCCTCCT